AGCCCCAGCTGCCACGTGGCCTTCTCCCTGAAGTCCACCCGGATCCCACAGATGCCTCCTCCCCCTCTCTGTCCCCTGAGCTCTGTGCGTCCCTGCTTGGGGGTCTGTGCTGGACCCGCCTCCTCCAGCCTGGAGTTGCGCTGTGTGTGCCAGGCCCGCACACAAGGGGGTGGGCTTAGGGGTGCACGTGGAACGAAGCAGTAAATGCAGTTTTAAGGGTTTTCATTCTAGGGAGCTCTTGGGACCACGGAGCTTCTTTCCTGACCCCCCCACCCCCTCTGCACACATCCTGTAAAGTTTTATGAGGGTTTCCTTGGTTTCATCCAGTGGTTCAAGCTATAAAGTCCAGGGTCTTCAGGAACAGCTGGATCAGGGGGCTTCAGAATTCCATCTCCTTCCAGTTCTCAGTGTGCTGCCCACCCCACTGGCTTGGTGTTTGAGGTCTCGCCTCTCGGACTGGCCCATGGCAGACCCCAGCTGTGCTTCTCCGGGTTCAGATCAACTCCCAGGGCTGGGTTCTGTCCGCCCAGAGCCAGCCTTAGTGGGAGGAGCCCCTGGGCAGAGCTGGCCAGGAGCTGAGGTGACATGCCTGCTCCCTAGTCAGGTACCCAGTCTGGGCTCCCCGGCTGCCGGGTGCCCCCACCCAGCCCCTGGTCCTCCCTAGGCTCCTGGAGGTAGTGCGTCGAATCCCAGCCTGGCACAGTCCCTGTACCCATCTTCCAGAGGACAGGCTCCCAAAGCAAACGCCCTGCCGCCCAGGCTGTCGGGGTCACTACCCTCCAACACGGTGGCAGGCCGCGCTGCCCTCCCCACCAATCCCGCACACCCTGGCGGGGCCACGGCCATTTATGTCCCCAGACGCCTGCCTCCCACTCGCAGGCGCAGGCGGGCTGGCATCTGTGACCGACACTTGCAAACGTGTCTCCCCAGAGGGCTTCTCAGGCTGCAGCGGGTGGGTGAGTGGGGGGACAGGGAACAGCAGTGCGCCCCAAACCTAAGCCCGCCCCTGGCCCTGGGAGTGACAGCGGCCCCATCAGTGCCCTGGGACAGTCCCTTGACACCCCCGGCCTGGCCTGTGGTGGGGGACCCCGGCAGAGTTAGCTCCCTCCCTCTCCGGGTCCTCCTCTCCGGTGGCCCTGTAGACACAGATGGTCTGGGCACAGGGGACTCCGGCACGTGGGAACTGCCTGGGAGCGAGGTGGCCGGGGGACGTGGGCTCCGGGGTCCCCGACTGGCTCTCCGCGGGCTCCCCAGAGCCAAGGCCAGGGGCCAGGGAGGGACCCCAGACCCCTCCGCGCCCAGCGCCGTCCCCCTGCGCAGGCGCAGGGCAGAGGCCCCAGAAGGCGGTCGCAGGCTCCAGATGGCAAGCCTCGTGGGTGCGCGGCGCGGCCTCAGGTGCGGGCCTGGCGAGCCCAGGGTCGCGGCCCCTTCCCGGGAGCGCGGGCGCCGCCAGCCCCGGGTTCCGTGCAGAGCGCGCCCCCTGCCGGGAGCGGCCGGGAGCGGCGCGCCGCGGCCCAGCACCGCCACCAGCTGAGCTGAACTGAGCTGAACTGAACTGTCCCCAGCTCTGTGCAGAGCACCCTGTCGCCCTCTGCGCAGAGCACCCTGTCGCCGGCTGGGCCTGACTCTGGGCTGAGCTCCCACCCCCGTGGAAGCCCCCGCTGCAGGCGGATCCTGATACCAGGGCGCCCGACATGGGCTGAGCCCCCTCTGAACCTCAGCTCTGGGCTGCACTGGCCCCAACCCCCGCAGCGGGGCCTGGCCTGAGTCCCAACCCAGTCCCCTCAGCTGCACAAGGAACCCAGACCCACTCACTATGCTTCCCTGCTCCTCCCAGCCCCCTTGCCCAGCGGGGGACCCCCAGGATGCAGCTGCCCGAGGGCTGAACCCCCACTTGGAGTCAGATCCCATGAGGCCCTAACCCACCCCTGCAAGCCTCTGGCTGTGTGGCCCTGGACAAATCACTTGTTCTCTCTGGGCCTCTTTGTCATCTGTGAAATGTGACATGGAATGATCCCAGAGAACTTCTGACCCAGTGACAATAAGACAAGACAGTAGGATGTAGCCAAAACCTAAAGAGGGGCCTTGGATCCCTGGAAGGGGCCTCTCTGAGGGCTCAGCCTCCCTGGTGTTGGGGGCTCCGGGGGCTCCATTCCCTGGGATCTGATGTGGCTGGGGCCTGCGGTGAATCTCCATGGACTGCAGGTGGTCATGGCTGGGCCCACCATCCCAGGAGGGACTGCTCCTGCTCAGGGCCAGCTCCAGGTCCCGCCATGGGGTGACCTGCTGCTCCTGGAAGGTGAGGGCAGTGGCTGGGACGTCCCGGCCTTACTCCAGGGACAGCTGAATGTCCTTGCAAATCCTGGGACCACCTTAGTTACTCTTTTCTTGATGTCATCAGTCTTGAAGGGGACCAAGCAGGTGGGACAAACTTAAGGATGACCAAGCTGGCAGCACTGACTATTGGACAGACATTGCTTACGGGGCTACAGTGCCCAGGTGTCAAAGGCCTCTCGAGGGTGTCTGTCCTTTTGTCCCTGTGGCGGACCTGATGGTCTCAAGAGGAGGCCTGATCAAGATGAATTAAAGCAAAGTGTGGACAAGAGGTGCTGGAGCCAAACAGCCCATAGCCGTGGCCACACCTGTAGTCCTCGCGCCTCGGGAGGCTGAGGCAGGAGGACCTTAAGTTCAAGGCCAGACTGGGCAACTTAGCAAATCCCTGTCTCAAAACAAAACTTAAAAAAGAGGTTGGGATGGCGCTCAGTGCAGTGTCCTGGGTTCGTCCCCAGCACAGCACATGGCGAAACATCCTGCCTCTAGGGCATCAGGCACAGTGGCACTGCCACGTGGCTGTCCCCACTGCCCACCCCCAGGGCTTCCTTGTCTCCCCAGGCTGAAGCTCTGCCCCTCCAACACCAGCTCTGTCACCTCCTGCCCTGCACCCACCTCGCTGCTTCCCCAAGTCATCCCAGTGGCTCTGACACTCCAGGGACCTCCTGGGGTGGAGGCTGCAGGGTCCCTCTGTGTCTGGTGCATGTCACTCAGCATGATGTTTCCAAGCTTCATCCACCGGTCGGGTGTCAGAATTCCTTTCCTTTTCAAGGCTGAGGAGCCCAGCGAGGGCGGAGCCGAGTGTGGGTCCACCCCCCCCAACAGGCAGAGGCCGCCCTCCTCTGGCTCCCTCTGGCTCCAGGGCCCAGTGCTGCTATTAACACCGCACACAGTAGGTAGGTATCCGGGTCCTGCCTTTGACTTCTGTGGGCACCAGCTTTGGAGGACTGGCCATTGTCCTAGTGTGGCCACACCGTTCTGCCGCCCAGCTGCAGTGCGAGGGCTCCCCTCTCTCTGCGTCCTTAGGACACTTTTTAGATCCCCTGCCTTATTTGAGGACCCGAGGGCTTTTTATTCTCACGTCACATGGGTGGGGACACTGAGGCTCAGAGACACAAACTTGGGCAGGCAGGTGATGGCAGAGCTCTGAGTGAGCTGTGCCCTGCCCGTGCCAGGTGCCGCCGACCACTGCAGAGAGCACAGCCCACCATACTGTCCCTGAACCCACCTCAGTCACTTGGCGCCCACAGGCCCTATCCCAGACTTAGTGAAGCCATTTTCTTTCATGCAGTTTGTGGCCTGGGGGTGCAAAGAAGGCCCCTCCCACCAGTGCAACTACCTTGCAGGGGACATGTTTTGGTTATCACAACCCAGAGGGGCCTGGGGTGCTCCTGGCACAGGAGTGCCAGGAAGCCAGGGGTACTGCTGGCCACTCTAAAATGTCAGGAAGGGTCGCCAAAAGCAAGAGTGGCCAGGCCCAGAAGTGGACCTAGGGAGAGGGCAGGCCACGTCGGTGGAGGGGCTGGGGGAGGCTCAGATGCTACAGAAGCCCGGGGCACCTCTGGGCTGGAATCCTGGCCCAGCCGTGTGCCTGTGTGGCCTCGGGAACTTGGCTTTCCTCTCTGAGCCTCGGTTTCTGCCTCCCTAATGGGATATTTATTTTTGCCCCGTGAGGCCCTGGGCCAGGGTCCCTTTGCGCCTCCCCTGTACATGTCAGGGTGGCACTGTGTGGCTACTGGGAGGACGCGGAGTGGTTGCTGTGGCTTCCAGGTCCTGGCTGCACTGGGACCCAGAGCTGGGGCAGGGGAGCAGGGAGGAAATGGCGCACTGGGGAGCTGGGAGCCGCTCCAGGGCCCGGTTCCCAGGACTCGCAGCTGCGTCCTCCTGGGGGGCCCAGCTGGCCCCGTCGCCCCACCCCGCTGGCAGCCTGGACGCTCATCCTCATTCCCACGGAAACAGGCTGCACCTGGGGGCTGCGGGCTCCAGGTGACTCCGACTCGGAAGGCGCCCTGCCGGGCTGGGACGCGCGTCTGCCCGAACTCCTCCTGCCCAGGTGGGTGGCCGGGATCCAGAGTGGACGGCGCCGACGCAGAGCCCCGGGGGGTGCGTTTCCTTTGGCTCTCCCCTGG